GTGCGTTCCGTGCTGAAACGAAAAAGTTTATAACAATCAAATCAAATAATGCTATAAACACTCAACACAACAATATTTAAACTTCCCAAACTGATAATACAACAAACATGAACAGAAATTATCCCCCTCTGACATCACGCCAAATTGGTAGCTTCCCCAAGAAGTGATGTGGCTGTTGCTTTAAAAAGCAGTTTGACCTCGATTATGGGTTTGAAACCGATACAGATATAAATATATCACTTAGTAAAGCAGAAATGAAAGGAATAATCAGAGGAGCTATGATTAGGAAATGAAAAGGGTCGGCATCTATACAACATTCAAAAACAAGTTGGAAAAGGAAGGATAAACTTTGGAAGTAGGAAGGAGGACACAATAATATCTAGACTCCGTATTGGTCACACTCTTAATCAATCATTATTTATTATTGGTAAACATGAATCAGGTAATTGCAATAAATGTGGTATACCAGAGACTGTGGAACATATCCTATTACATTGTGAAGCATATGAAAGAGAAAGAATGTGATTAATAGAAGAATTAAGTTTGTTGAATATTGAAAGTACGACAATACTAGAGTATGCTCCAGCACAGTATAAAGCAATAGGTTTAATAAATAGAATTTTAAGATCACATAATGAAGTATATCAAATAATTGTATTCTTGTGTAATACTCTTTTGGTCAAAAGGTTTCCTAAAGGTTTTTTTTTTTTTTTAACGTTGTCACCAATATACGTCATGCTCCACACTCCAGTCTAGTAGGTGGCGGAAATATACCCGATACCGATACTTTTATTTTTGGTACTTGCCGATACCGATATTTTTATTGCATTTGTAAATTTTTTAAATATTGGGTACAGGAACCAAAAGAGTATGTATAATGTTAGTTGGTTAACTTCATTTATCAAATAGATACAGTCAAACCAAAATTTATTCAGACACCTTCAACATTTCTCACATTATCACAGTTTATTCGCTATAGATTAGAAAATGGTAATAAAATATGACAAAAACTCAGAGTTAAACTGTGTCAGAACAAATTCAGCTTGATAATATTAGATAATTTTGATAGAAATGTATGTAATAGATTACAATCAACCAAAAATTATTCAGACAGCTGTTAGTATGACAGTATTTACACAACTATCAATACTTAGTCGGGCGACCCTTAGCCTCAATGACAGTCTGTAGTCTCCTGGGCATGCTGTCACCCAGCTTCATATTCATAGCTTTCAAATTTGTATCAATTTTACTGGTAGTCCATTTGTATGAAGAATTTTTGGGTATGATTTGTCACAGTTTACTTTATTTTGCTATCCTCACTTACATAAATGAACTATAATGTCCTGCACCCACTAGTAAAAAATATCAAAACTTATATCTGGTCTCTGAATCATTTTTGGTTTGACTGTATATCCTTCGGTTATTGTCACACTTAATTATGTCCATTAAAATGTATTTTACACGTTTTTGTTACTTTCACTGTTAATTGTTTTGCTCTATGGTACATCATCTTTAATTTAACAGCATTAGAGCTGCTCCATTGGCAAAAATTGCAAATGTGCATGAATCGACAGTGTTGTCTTGAGCATCTGCCGGCATTGAAGCTGGTGCAGAGCTGTCTGCTGGAGGAGGATTGGGGGCGGCGGTTAGTGGAAGAGGGGAGGGAGGGGTTGGTTGGGAAGTGCGGCACGTAGCTGGTGGATTTGGGCTGAGATGGTTCGGAGATGGGGGGAATGGATGGGTTGACAAAGGGGCACGTTGTGGTGGGGTGAGCGATGGATCGGCATACCGCGCATGTGATGTTGCGGCAGCCTAAAAATACCCTGTTGTGAAGTTCAGTGTCCAAGGCCCCCCAGTAAGGACACTGGTTCCATTGGGCCACTCGAATAGCACATTTTGCTGAGAATAACTTGTGGTATGTGTAGAAATGGGAGCCCCCGTATGATAGCGCGAGATCGGCGACAATAGTGAGGTAGTCACCGAGCTCACGTCTCCTGTGAGGAAAAACGGAACAGATAACTTCAGCGTAGCGGTTGAAAGTGATGGCAAATTCGGAAAATGACAAAATACGAGATTGAATATTTGATGTATTTTTTAAAGTGACTGAAAATTCTCCGCAGTCGATTTGGCGGTCGGTGGACGAAGGCGAAATAGGAGACAGAAGGGAAAAAAGGTCTACGTCCGCACCTGAGAGGATTTGGTTCCGGATGATACTTGATACGGGGGGAGGGTCCAGGGGCAAGGGCGTTTGGTGGCATAGGTAGTGGTGTGGCTGGGGATAGACAGTAGGATGAGCGGGCCTGGGGGATGGGGGTGGGAAAAGTAGCCGCCGGAACCGCCTGCGGAGGCAAGCTCACGCTTGGAAGAGGGCTTGTGGAGGG